GGTGGGGGTAGGGGAGGAGGGAGAGGAGGAGGGGAAGGAGGATCCCAGGGAGGCTGTCGGAGGAGCATGGCTGAGGGGCAGTGAGAGGATCAAGGCTTGGCCATCTCATGGCCCCAGAACCTGCCTGAGTGAGACTGTGAAATCCATCAGCTGGGCAGCCACCGGAGACCACGGTGGCCCTGAGTACGCCTCCTGGGCCTGGGCACGGGGAGTGAGGGGGCTGGGGAGGCTGGCAGGAGGACAACGGTGAGGAATGTGAGTGATTATGGGAGGACATAGGTACGAAGGTGAGCTTAAGGTGCTTGAAGGCCAGTATATGGCTACGTGTGTGAATCCGGGGACTGTGTGGGCCTCTAGGGTGAGCGTGTGTGTGTGTGTGTGTGTGTGTGCATGACCACAGTGCGTGTGGCTGTGAGTGACCTTCAGAGTGAGTGTGAGGGCCAGTGCGAGGGGACCTGTGGGCATGAGTTGCTGTGTGTGTGTGTCATGGGGACTATGTGTACGTTTGGGGGCTGTAGGTGCATCAGTGTGAATGTCAGAGGGTGGGTTTGTGAGATTGGGGCACTCGGGTGTGAGTGTGAGTGTGAGTGTGAGTGTGAGTGTGAGTGTGTGGCGCTTGTGAAGAGGAGGGGCTGGGGGGTGGAGGGAGGCAGTCCTCTCCCCTCAGTCTTCGTCTTCTTTTGACCTCTGACCTCCAGGGTCCCTGTCACTCCTGGGTCCCTGCTCCCACTCTCTGTGGCCTCCCCTAGTCCCCGGCAGAGAGAGGCCTGATGCAGCTGCTCATTCTGGGAGGACGGAGTGGACCCTACATCCTGGGGGGCTGCAGACCTGGCTGGGGTCTCCCCACCTGTCTGAGTGCTGACACCCTCCTTTCCCAGCAGCCATCGGAAGACCTGGTTCCCTACGACACAGAGCTGTACCAACGCCAAACGCATGAATACTACCCCTATCTCAGCAGCGATGGAGAGAGCCACAGTGGTGAGTACAGGGCCCCTGCCCCACTGCCCCAGTCCCGCCTGGGCGCGGAGTGACTCCCGGGGTCTGGAGAGAGAAAAAGAAGAAATGGCTCCCAGGACCTCTTTGGAATTCTGAGAATTGGATCATGCTAGTTCCTAAAACCCCCACTCCACACCCACACCCACACCCACGCCCCAGCCTCCATGGACTGAGCATCTACGGTGGGCCAAGGCATGAGGCCAGCTTCGTTTATCTTGTCCAATCCTTGTGGTTTTTTTACAAACGAGGAAACAGGCTTAGGAGGCTGAGTGATTTGGACAAGGTCGCACAGCTGGTCAGGGGAGCCCAGGTCTGCCTGTTCCAGGTCCAGTGCTTTTCCACTCTCCCCTCCCCCCAATTTCTCCCTGCTCCTCTGTTCTTGTCACCCCCTCACCCTGAGCTGTTGGTGCAGGCCCACACCCTGCTGTGTGTAGCTAGCAGCGTTTCCTAACCCCTGTTGGCACTTGGGACCGGATAATGCTCTGTTGTGAGGCCTGTCTGTTCACTGTCGGATGGTGAGTGGTGCCCCTCGCTTCTACCCATAGACACCAGTAGGACCACCAGTCGCACAACCCAAAGTGTCTCCACATTGTGGAATGTTCCCCGAGGGACCGAATAACCCCAATTTGACAATTGCTGGGCTAACGGGGGCTCTGAGGGTCCCCTTATTCAGCAGGGGCTGAAGCCCCCCCTTTGCTGGGGTGGGGTGAGAATGGAGCCTGGGCTAGGGTGTCCTTCTGTCAGGATGTACCTGCCCCCTCCTCCCCAAGGCCCAGCCTTGATCCTGGAGCAAATTCAGGGGAGGAGAGAGAGGCATTAGGTGCCGGGGAATGAGCTGGTCTTGGCCTATTGATGGGGACACCCCTGAACCAAAGGTGAGGTATCCTCGTGAATGGGTCCTCAGTGATTTGGACAAGGTCGCACAGCTGGTCAGGGGAGCCCAGGTCTGCCTGTTCCAGGTCCAGTGCTTTTCCACTCTCCCCTCCCCCCAATTTCTCCCTGCTCCTCTGTTCTTGTCACCCCCTCACCCTGAGCTGTTGGTGCAGGCCCACACCCTGCTGTGTGTAGCTAGCAGCGTTTCCTAACCCCTGTTGGCACTTGGGACCGGATAATGCTCTGTTGTGAGGCCTGTCTGTTCACTGTCGGATGGTGAGTGGTGCCCCTCGCTTCTACCCATAGACACCAGTAGGACCACCAGTCGCACAACCCAAAGTGTCTCCACATTGTGGAATGTTCCCCGAGGGACCGAATAACCCCAATTTGACAATTGCTGGGCTAACGGGGGCTCTGAGGGTCCCCTTATTCAGCAGGGGCTGAAGCCCCCCCTTTGCTGGGGTGGGGTGAGAATGGAGCCTGGGCTAGGGTGTCCTTCTGTCAGGATGTACCTGCCCCCTCCTCCCCAAGGCCCAGCCTTGATCCTGGAGCAAATTCAGGGGAGGAGAGAGAGGCATTAGGTGCCGGGGAATGAGCTGGTCTTGGCCTATTGATGGGGACACCCCTGAACCAAAGGTGAGGTATCCTCGTGAATGGGTCCTCATTGGGGTTCTGAGACCTGGGCAGGCCGGACACTAGGGTGTCTGCAGCCCCAGAGGGAGAGGCCCACTGGGTGTCACAGCTGAGCAAGGTTTCACACTTGAAGGCCACCCCTGGGGGCCAGTCACACGGGTAGCTCCATTCTGCAGGCACATTGAGGGCAGTCTTACCCTGGTGGCCACACCCAGGGGTGCCCCATGCGGCCAGTCCTTACTTAGGGCTCTCATATCTGATGCCAAACCTGGTGAACAGCTCACCCGGAACCCACACCTGGAAACTATTAGAAAGACCATCCCTGGGAGCCGTGTCTGGGGAGGAGGTGGTGGATGTGTCTCAGGCCACTTCAGGGGACACACAGGCTTCTTTCAGAACCCCAGGGCGGGAAAGGTTTTAAAATATCCTTCTCCATCCTTTTAAACTTATTTATAATTCTGTAAGAAATGTATCCTCCCTGTGGAAAAGCCAGGCCATCTGGAGAGAACGTCTCCTTCATTCAACTCTACCCCCAGCTCCCCCAGCCAGGATCGGTCTCGGTGAGTCAGGACCTGAGAAGGTTCCTCTGGGCTTGAGGACTGGCGCCCCCTGGTGGCTCCAGGCCGCAGGACAGCTCGGGTCCAGGCTAGCTCAGGGCTGCCCGGGGCGGCTTCCAGCATTAGAGATATTTTGCCTCGGGCCTGACCCCCTCTCAATTTCACTAGGTTTGGGAGCATTTCCTTCGGCTCTACCGAAGCCTCAGTTTTCCCTCCTTTAATAGGTACTCTGGGGGTGTTGTTCATATATTTAGAAATGAGCTAGGCCTGGGGCTGGGCTGATGGAGGGAGTGCTTTAGAGAAAGCCTGTTCCTACCTGGCTCAGTGCCCCGCCTGATCCCTTATATCTGGGAAGTGACTCCCGGTTAAATGCCTGCGCCCCCTGTGTGGGTCATGAAGGCCCAGTGTCTTCAGAGATTCCTACACGTCCCCACGTGCCCCAGCGCCCCCTCCTCCAGGCGTCTGATCTGGCCCTTCCTGATACCTGTGGGAAGTTCTTGTCTGAAGGCTCAAGAGAGAGACACCCCACACCCTCCCCCCAGTTCCTGCACGTTCCTTGGTCTGGGTGTTAGGCAGCGAGGCTTAGTGAAAAGGCACCCGGCAGACCCGAGTCTAGTCCGCGGCCCATCACTCAGCGTGTCACCCTGGAAAAAGTGGCTCCGTCTCTGAGCCCTGTTTCCTCATTTATAAAACTGGGAGCATGAAAATACCGCATGGAGTTGTGACGATTAAACGAGGTGATGCAGGTGAATATGTGAGCTCATGTACTGAGCACCAGGCCCAGTAAACTTCCAGGACACGTAGGGTAGCTTTGCTGCGTCCCCCAGGCAGCTGGAGAGCGAGAGGAGCGCAGAGGGTCCTGGGACAGATCAACCAGCCAGCCACCCAACACTTATTGTCCCACCCACTTGTCCACACACCTACCCAATAGCCCCTGATTGTACGCCACACACCAGACACTGTTCTAGGCACTGGAGGCTCCAGGGAGTGAGATGGACAAGGCCGCTCCTCCCAGGGAGCTGTATTCCAGTGAGGGAGACAGTCAGCCAGCAGATAAGCAGACACGGAATCCTAAGTTCCATGAAGAGCAGAGCGATGCAGTGTGGCACATCTACGCGGGGCTACTGTAACCTGGGTGGTCAGGGAGGGCCCCTGCGGAAGTGCGTGTTGAGTGACACCTGAGTGAAGAGAAGGAAGGTGGGTACAAAGGCAGGTGGGGGCTGGGCGTCCTGGGCAAAGGGCCAGAGTGTCTGTGAGCACGGGGTGGGGATTGTGGGGTGGAGATAAAAGGTAGGCAGGGTCTGCAGGGGGCAGACTGCACAGGGCCTGAGCGCCAGGGTGGGAGTTTGAATTTTATCCTACAAAAATAGCAGCCATTGGAGGTTTTGAGCAGGAAAATGACATGATCTGAATAACCTTCTGTGTGTGTGTGTGTGTGTGTGTTTGGTGAAATTCTAAATAAATTTTAACGTTTGAATTATTAAAATAACAATTATTCATTGCAAAAATCTAAAAAAATGAAAAGTATAACAGTATATCAAGTAAAATATTTCTCTCTTCCCAATCTTACTCCCCACTGATAGCATCCTCAGTCCATACTCACAGACATTTTATTCTACATATATAATTCTGTATGTTTGTAAATATTTGCTATACATGTGTGTAGTCTATTCATTCAAAAATGGAATTGTGCTATCAAACTGCTCTGCTATTTACCATTTTTTTACTTAAACTTATAGACATTCATTCATGACCTCCATAGCATATCAGAGACAGATTAAAGATAATTTTTCCAGCCCTGGCCGGTGTGGCGCCATTGGTTGCACATCGTCCTGTGCACTGAAAGGTTGCCGGTTCAATTCCTGGTCAGGGCACATGCCCGGGTTTCAGGCTTGATCCCCAGTAGGGGGCGTGCAGGAGGCAGCTGTGTTTCACGTTCACATCGATGTTTCTCTCCCTTTCCCTCCCTCTCTCTAAAAATCATTTTAAAAAAATCATTTTCCAGCCTATTACAGTGCTATGTACATGTATGCATGCACATTTGAAATAGAACACAGAACAATATTCCTGTGTTCATTTGCAAACATTTATTGAATGCTTTCTATATGTTAGGTGGAGCTGAATCTAGCTTGATCTATTCACCTGTACTATAAAAGATGAGAAGTTGCCCTAACCGGTTTGGCTCAGTGGATAGAGCATTGGCCTGTGGACTGAAGGGTCCCAGGTTTGATTCCGGTCAAGGGCATGTACCTTGGTTGTGGGTACATTCCCAGTAGGAGGTGTGCAGGAGGCAGCTGATCAATGTTTCTAACTCTCTATCCCTCTCCCTTCCTTTCTGTAAAAAATCAATAAAATATACTTTTAAAAAAAGATGAGAAGTTGGCTTTCTAGTCATTCACAATACACACACACACACACACTTCTCCACACATACCAAGATAAGTGTATAGCAACTTTTTTCTTTTTTTTCTAGTTTTATTAATTAATTGACGTATAACACTGTATACATTTAAGGTATACAGCATAATGACCTCATGCATATTTAGGTATATATTATATATATATATATTATATATATATAAACTTGACTACCACAAGTTTAATTAACATCCATCACCTCGTATAGTCACAAAAATTTTTTTTTCCTTGTGATGAGAACTTCTAGCAACTTTTAAATATATATATACTTTATTGATTTTTTACAGAAAGGAAGGAAGAGGGATAGAGAGTTAGAAACATCGATGAGAGAGAAACATCGATCAGCTGCCTCCTGCACACACCCTACTAGGGATGTGCCTGCAACCAAGGTTCATGCCCTTGACCAGATTCGAACCTGGGACCCTTCAGTCCGCAGGCCGACGCTCTATCCACTGAGCCAAATCGGCTAGGGCGAAAACATTTTTAAAAAATATATACTTT